CTCACTCCTCCATGAGCACCACCAGGGCTCCTTGTGGTCTCACCAAGCCTCAGAGAGCTCCCCGATCTCAGCACTTCCCACACTCATCCCTTCTTTCCTCATCCTCCCCATATTTCTCCTCAAAGTCATTAAGGATGTTATAGTTGAGCTCATGTTAGAGATTTCAGCACTGGAACATGGCAGGGAAAGCTCCCCACCTGGCACAGGCTCTATCCTCCAACTTTCTGCTGCCTGGAAAGCATTTCTGCTGTACCACTCATCTGGGTATGGCAGTGCCAGGCCTTGTCTGACTCCCAAAGAACAGAGGCAGAGCTTGGAAGAAGAGGGCAGAGACCCACACTTGTGTGTACCTGTGTTAGTGTGTGTCTGCTTGTATGCTAGTAGCCCTGTGTGTATAGCTGTGTGTGTGTTCAAGTGTGTGACTGTAAGTGTGCATGTGAAAAATTACATATGGGCGCCTGCTGTGTGTCTAGGTATTTTTGTGTATATGTGTGTCAGTGCACCCAAAAGTGTCTGCACGTCATGTGAGTATAGCTGTTGTGTGTGTGTGTCTTCTGTACAATTGTGTTCATACGAGTGTGCCTTTGTGTGGTAGAGTGGACCTGTTCTGTGTGTGGATGAGTGTGAACATGTGGAGTCCCCTGTGGGCCTAAGTTCCTCTTCTTTTTCTTCTTCTTTCTCATGAACAGTTTGATTAAAATTCAGGAAGCAGCAGAACCTTCAAAACAAGATTGTGTGTGCACACATGTGCACACACACCTGCATGCCTATGGGCCAGAGTCTTCCTTGGTGTCCTTCCCGCTCTCCCACCCCTTCTGATCCATCTAGGTGCCCCTCTCTCTCACTCCCCATGAGCACCTGTCTTCCCCCTTCTTATTTGTCGAACTGACACCAATGGTCTCAGCTCTGCTGCCCATCGCCCACCTGTGTCTCCTCTATGGAAGGAGGAGAAAGGAGGGAGGAGGAAGCCTTCTTCCACAGAGGAGACACGAGTGGGAGAAGGGGAGCAGAGCTAAGGCCATCAGTGTCAGTGATTCTCTTCCATCAGAAGGCTCAGCTGGTAGGGGCCGGGCTCTGCCTCCCCAGCACCCTGCCCTCTGCCTTTCCCTCCTGGGCCCTGACTTGCACAGCCCCCAGAACCTCAGCAATCTGTTAGGTTGGATTTTCCCTCGTGGACTGTGTACAGATTGCAGAGGAAGAGTGATGAGCAGGGTCCAGCTTCTCCTTGCCTGTGGTCCCCTCCCCTGCAGACTGATACACCTTCCCACCTGGTCCAGGTGGGAACAGGCCCCATGCCAGGTCAGCAGACAGGCTCCTTTGTACATTTCTTACAATAAACCCTCCCTGGTGCCTCTGGTGTGTAGCTTCTCCCATTTGTGCCTCTATGTGCAGGTGGGGATGAGGATCAGAGCAGCAAGAAGGAAGAAGAGCTGGCAGGGATTGGGGCCAGGTGAAAAAGACATGGGAGCCTTGAGGTGCAGGAGGGCAGAAGAAGGAGAGCCCCAGCTCCTGTTGTGGCCCAGTCCAGCTCTCTCCTGCTCCTACTCCAAAGCCCCTTAGTTGGAGTCTGAGAGGCCCGGGGTCAGAGCTGTGCCCCTTCTGCCCCTACTCCAAAGCCTGAGAGGCCAGAGGTTAGAGCTCTGCCCCCTCCTCCTCCAACAGACAACACCACGCTCCCCCTAGCCACAGGAAATACATGTTGGGACACTGTGTCCCCAGTCCTTCACTTCTCTGTCCCCTTCAGAAATTTCAGGATGCCTGTGGGCACCCTCAGAGGCACTAACCAGGAGCCTGCCCCTGACCCCAGAGAGCCAGGGGTCACATGAACCTGTGACAGACAGTATTCTTAGGTAGTGAACTCAGGCCACAAACCCAGTGGGTGAAATGTGATCTTACATGTAATTTTATTTTCTATAAAGACTTCTGACTCCCAGCATTATAGTAAATGCGTGATCCCTTTCAGGGTTCCGGCACCCCCTTTTTCTGGGTCTCCTGTGGGAGTGAAGGGGGCTCTCCAGGCTGCCTCTGAGACATCCCTCAGTTGCCTGTGTCCCCTGCCACCTTGCAGTTCTCTGTGCATGTCCAGGGGGTTAAGCATCCCTACAGGTAAGGGCCGGGCCTCCCTCCCTGAGGTGGGGGCTTCTTGCTGTTTCTCCAGACCTCACCTGGAGCCTTCTCAGGCCCCAAGGACAGAAAGACTTGTAGAGCATCCAGTCCACCCTTCCCCTGAGCCTTGAATGACAGAAGAAGAAAGACAAAATGCCAGGTGGGAGACACGGGGCACACAATCTGATACTTCACCTCCATTCCCCCACCCCAGGCATCAGCTCTGGGTGCTGAGGTGGCTATTAGGAGCATTTCTACCTTCCACAAATGAGGAACTTGGTTGATGAGAGGTTAAAAATGGGTGTTGCCCAACTAGGGTGCTGTTGGCATGTGGGGCAGGGAAACTCTGCTTTGTGAGCCACTGTCCCTCCTCCTTCCACACCCACTCACGTGACGAGTGCAATTGCTGGTGCATTTGCAAACACTGGGGGAGGCTAGCTGGGAACCACTGGGAACGTGGGGGGGTAATTTCTGGCTGGTACACTGCAGTGTCAGGATTCGAACCCACATCCTTCTTAGCCAGCCGGCCTCCTCCTGGTCCCAACAGCCCAGCAGACCCAGGGAGGCTAGGCTGGGAAGGAAACAGGTCTGAGCTGTCTCCTCTCTCCCATCCTTTCCAGGGTGGCTGGAGTGTCACTGCCTTTTTGCATCCCCAATCCCTGAGCCCCTCTTCCCTCCCCCCATGCTCCCATCTATTGTTTTGATGCTGCCTTCCTGGAAAGAGGGGGCTGCCAGATGTCAGGGCGTGCAGTTCAGGGCAGCCGGGGCAGAGGCGGGGATGGGTTTACGAGGCCTCCTGTTCTGGGATGAAAAGGACATCACGAGCCCAGGATGGAGCTCAGTGCTGTTGTCACTGGTGAGGGAACAGCACGGCCCCACCTGTGACAAATAACCCCTGCAGGCAGCGGGTAAGGTGGGGGAGGTGTAGGGGGCCCTGCTGCCTGCCTCCCCTCCTGAGAACATCCCCCCTGCCCAGTGTGAATGGGAACGAAGTCCAAAGGGCACATCTGCATCCCTGCCTACCTGGGCTGTTGATGTGTGTGAGTTTGGAGGATGCCAGTCACCTGCCCCCATCCTCAATCTCCACACCCTACAATCACCTGGGCCTCAGGGCCAGCTCCTGAACAGGGCCTGCCACATGCATGCCACACACACACAAATGCATGTGCCCAAGCCTCCCCCAGTTAGCCACTCAACTTTAAGGGGACACTAGTCCCAAAGCTAACTGAGACCTCCATTGTTGGAGGCTTGGGAAGGGCAGTTCACTTAACCAAGAGACTCCCAGATTGCCCCACGTTCCCCAGGGCTGGTCTCTTTCCAATCACCCCCACAAGCATGGGGGCCCATGGGCCCCAAGTTGACCTCAGGTGATGTTTATATTCCTGGGCTTTGTTTGTTCCATGAACTGTTCCATGAACTGAACATCTGGCACCTTTTCAGAGAAATGTTTTTTCATTTGGAACATCTGGAAACAAGAACTTCTGGGACTGCCCAGAGAGAGCTGTTCCTCACATGAAAGGTTAGCCTTCCTGTCCCCAATTTTCATAGCTCAAGTCCTGGCCTGCGCCCCTTGGAAGTGGATCCCAGGACTGTCAGGGGAGGCCTAGGCCTGGGAATGGTAAGGGGAGGGTGCCCAGACCCTCCACCTTCCAACTCTGACATGAGGGACAGGGCCGTAGCCCCCTAAACCAGACAGCCCTGCCAACACAGTCTGTTGGAAAAATGAAGAGTCATGGAAAGAGTGAGAAATGGACAGAGGACACGGCGGACTTATCATCCCTCTTCCTGTCCTGGAGATCAAGGGATGAGAGGGAGAAAAGCAGCTTCAGGAGACATAAAACTCAGAGTGGAGTCAGCTGTGGGGCTGAAGCTGGCAAACTTGCCCTGTGTGCTGTGCAGGCTGTGCCCTGCACAAGGACAGTTCTCAAGGGCTGAGGGTTGTACTGGACCCGGGGAAAGGCACAAAGCCAAACTTAGATGAGTCCCTGAATGCTCTGGTTTCCTCTGCCACCCTGAGGACTGGAAGGGTAAAGCCAGGGAACCTGAGGGCTCCCCCTGCCACCACCAGCTTTCTCTCCCCTACCTAAGACCCCCTAGAGCTGCAGACGACAGTCAGTGCCCTCAGAGTTCAGTAGTTAGGACTCCCCGAAGAAGCCACCTAAGGGGCTTAGAGTCCCAATGGTTTAGAGTCTAAATCATGTCCATCCATTTGGGTCACCCCCAGCCAGGTCCCACAACATGAGGAAAGGAGGCCTCTCTCCAAGGCCTGGACCAGATCTTGAACCCAGTGGCTGCCACACTTGGCCTGCCCTTGTTTGAGAACCTTTGTGGCTCCCTTCCTCCACAGGGTCAATTTCCAACATGGCCACCTGGACTCCAGTCTTTGCTCTGGGCCCCTTCGGGTGCCTGGCCCCCTGCACTGTCCTTCCTCGGTGCTCCCCTTTCCGCAGGGTGAGGGCTGGTTCACAGCACAGGGGCCGAGCTCAAATTCATTTTTTCTTAAGACCATTATAAGTGCCTAGGAATAAATACTTGTCAGACTCTTGACCTCCAAGGAGCTGGCAGACTGCAGATAGGTGGCTGGAAGGCCCAGGGGATGACCAGCTGTGGGGTGGGGACACATAGACAGGAGCACAGGCTGCCCCTAAAAGACTAAGCCACACCCCCTGAGGGGCATCCACCAAGGACCCCAGCTGTGCTGCCCAAGCTGGGCAGCCTTCAAGCCTTAGTGGCCCAGCTGACAAGAGCCCACCCTCCCCCAGGTCCCCAGAGAGCTGATGTCTCCCCTGGGTCTCAATTTGCATGGCAGGAAGGAGCCTGGTGGGGAAGAGGCGGGGAGGGGACAGGCTGCAGCCCCAGCAGTTACACATTTCCCCTCAAGGAGTCTCGGAAAGACTTGTCACGGGCTTGGGACAGAGCGGTGACCATGGCTAGCCTGGTGTTGTCTCCTGTGCCCAACAACTGGCTGGTGGTATTGCTGCTGTTGCTCTCAGGTACAGCCTGCTGATTTGGCCCTGTTACCTTGCATCTGGGTGGCTCAGTCTCTCGCTTGCTCCTCCCTGATCCTGTTTTTCTCACTTTCTGCCTCTCCCTGCTCTGGGGCCTGGATCTGTGCGTTTCTACTGGGTGATGGGCTCAGGAGTCTGTGGCCCAAAGCCCTCTCCTGCCTGGAGGCTGTTCCCACAGTCCCCGGAGACAAAGTTGGGCCTAGCTGGGTGAGAGGGGCAAAACAAAGCTGGCAGCCAGGACTGTGGAAGCACTGGGTCCAGGAGGAAGGGACATGTGGTTCCTCAACCCCTGCCCCTGAGGGCTCCATGTCAGGGGGAGGCAAGAGAGAAGCTGTCCAACCAGACCCTGGGAGATGCTGGTTCAGAGATGCTCCCCTTCCCATCTGGAAGGTGCAAGAGCCTCCCACCCTGCTCTGCCCACCCGCAGCTTTCCTCCTGTCTCATTTTGATACCTGCTTGCCAAGGGTGGGAGTGGGGTTGGGTGCTGGAAGAGGGGCTTCTGTTCCGTCATCCCACTCCTATCTACCCACACAGGGACAGGGAGGGTTGAGGGGTCCTGGAAGGAGGAAGCAGCTCTGGGGGTGTGGAGGGCACAGGGGCGGGGCAGGGCGGCCTAGAGAGGAAAGGCCTGACTGGCCCCGCCTACTTGCTCCCACCCTGCAGCCCAGATGGTGCCGATAGCCAAAACACAGGACCTGAAGGAGAATCTCCAAGGTCAGTGACCTCACCCTCTTCTGAGGAAAAGTATGTCTGTGTCCAACGCTGGCCACTGTCCCAGGGGCTGCCCCATCTCCTGTCCTTGCCTGGTATCCCCATTCCGGACCCCCACCCCAGGCCTCCTAGGATCCCTTCCCCAAGGTCCCACCCCCAGTCACCTGTCATCCTCCATAGACACATATGCTCCAGTCCTGGGTGCTGAAAGGCTGGGCTGAGCCCAGGGCCAGGGCAGAGGTGCCAGTTCCTCAGAGGACTCAGGCCCTGTCTATCTGGGAGGTCGGGCCCAGCCTCAGAATGAGCCCTTCAGGCAGGGTTTGCAGTGTAAGCAGCTCAGGGATTCCTAGGGGGCCACTTACTGGGAACAGGCAGGAGGAGGCCCTTAGATCAGATGGGAGAGCATTCCAAGCTGAGAAAGAAGGTTCTGGAACACAAAGTGGGGCAGGTCCATGCAGGAGAGAAGAGGGGATGATGGTGGGGATAAGACAGGCAGGAGCTGACTGAGGAGGGCTTCAACTGCCAGGTCAAAGATTTGGCCTTTGTCTCTGGGGACTGTGGGAAACTCCTGAGGGTTTGGGGCCAGTGCAGGGCAGCCCAGGCGAGGAACAGGCAGAAGCACCAGATGGAGCCACAGGCTGTCCTGCAGGCCCCCAGTCCCTAAATGAGGCCTGGGTCAGGCCCCACGTGAGGGGCATGGGCCCCAAAGCCATTCCAAAGAAACTCAGAGGGGTGGAGGGGCAGTTGCGGGTGGAGGTGCCCAGAGGAGGAGGAGACAGTTGGGGGAGGAGGTTGCCCACCTCTCACAAGCTCAGTTCCTCCTGACGCAGGGAGGAACCCAGGGGTCAGTGCCACCAGGAGGGGGCTGGCAGTCCAGGCTGGCATTCAGAAAGATGCCAAGCAGGATTCTGAGCCCAGCCTTGGCCTTGGCACCCACAGGAAGCACTTGTTCCGAAATCTGGCAGAACCCACGTTTCATAGCCAGGAAAAGGGGCTACACAGCAAAGATGCATTGCCACACGGATGGCACCCCCAGCACTGTGAGCTGGCTGCGGAAGCAGGAGACCGACCTGGAGCCCCAGCAGCTGAAGAATACAGACCGTATGGTGCAGTCTCAGAATGGCTCCGTCTTCACCCTTGCCATCCAGGCCATCCAGTTTGAGGACAACGGCATCTACTTCTGCCAGCAGAAGTGCACCAGGGCCTCCCAGGAGGGAGCCACAGTCAACTTGGGCTGCGGCACTGAGCTGCGAGTCATGGGTGCGTGTGAGGCAGCAGGGGGGCTCCTTTAGCCATCCACACCCACCCCCATCTGGCCTAGTGCCTGTGGAGGTGGCCATGGCCCTGGAGCACCCAGGAGAGCCGCTGGGTAGCAGGTCCTGAGGGGTCCGCAGTCAGCCAACACTGGAGGCCCAAAGGGTGCACTCTTGGGGCACCCTGCATCCCGGCTTACAGCCCCACTCCCCCAGGGTTCAGCACCTTGGCACAGATGAAGCGGCGGAACACGCTGAAGGACGGAATCATCATGATCCAGACCCTGCTCATCATCCTCTTCATCGTCGTGCCCATCTTCCTGCTGCTGGACAAGGTGTCCACGGGGTGGGGGGAGCCTCAGGGAGCCAGGGAGGAGGCCGAGGGCCAGGCCGGGCACAGGCAGAGTCTCTGTCTCCCAGCCTGCACACCCCACCAGCTCCCCTATCAACCTGTCCAGCTGTACCAGCAGCGCACACCTCACTCCCACATCCCCCTCATCCCCTGGGTCTATCTCCCTGCCCTCAAAGCCTGAGCAGGAGCTGGGAGTGGGGGGCACTAACGCTCTGATCTCCTTCCATCCCCCAGGATGAGGGCAAGGCTGGGATGGAGGAAGATCACACCTATGAGGTAAGGAGTAGGGTGGACCCAGCAGCTCCAAGGCCATGTGGCCAGTGGCCACATCTATCAGTGTGGTTGGGAATGGCCTAGGCTTGAGCTTCATTTCATGTCCCCAGGGCCTGAACATCGACCAGACAGCCACCTACGAGGACATAGTGACTCTTCGGACAGGGGAGGTGAAGTGGTCTGTGGGTGAACACCCAGGCCAGGAGTGAGGGCAGAGCCCACCCTACCTGGGCGCAGCCCCCTGGGCCTCAGTGACTGCTTTGGAGCTGCCTGGCTCACAGCCCACCCCTGGCCCTCAGTGGCCTCTGAAGCTGGCCTGCCAGAGCCACCTCCTTGCTCCAGTGCCTGGGCCAGGCCAAGGGCTAGAGAAGAAGGGCAACCAGGAGGTGATATGGTAGGAGTTCTTTGGGGTGGACTGGCTCCTGCCTTTCAGGGGTGCTAGGGGGGATACACCCCCACACATGGGATGGGGAGGGCAGAGACTGGTGCAGATGCTACAAATGGACTCAGAGCAGTCAGCTTCTTAAAGGGCATGGCCCTTCCCTGGGCCCCAGGAGGGCCACTGAGAACTTGATTCCTTTCTCCCAACCTCTCCTACCCCACAGGCCCTGCCCTCAAGTCCTTTATCCCGTGGAATAAACTGTGTCTTGAGAAACCATATATAAGCTCGTGACATCTCATGGGTGTGGGAGGATGGGAGTGTCTATTTGGGCACTTCTATTGTCTGAATGTGGCACCTGTGGGCCCGTCCCTTTTCTCTAAAGGCCCATTGGAACCTGGGGCCACATTCTGCTTTGTACCCCTGCCTGCTAGGGCTCTAGCTGGTCCTAGAGCAATGGGAGAGAGGGCAGCTGGGCCTACCCTGCCCCTTGGCAGGGACGCCTTCACCTGTGCTCCATCAACCAACAAGCAGCACCTGAGCCCTGCTCTGCCTCCCACCTACAGGAAGCCCTCCCACTGCAGCCATCTCTGCCCAGGCCCTGCTGGGACAAGCCCTAACGTCTGTGGCTTAGCCCCACCTGATCTTGTGGTGCACATGGGGGCCTTTCCCTGGTGAAACTAGAAGCTCCCAGAGTGTAGAGTTTTTCCTGCCTCTACCACCCCCTCTCCCGCCCCCTCACTCTCCCATGGAACCCAGGACTTTTATTTAAGCTTGACCCAAGGCCATTGAGACAGAGATTCCTGGCTAGGCATAGCTGTTTACACCTGTAATCCCAGCATTCTGGGAGGTCCAGGAAGGAGGGTGGATTAAGGTCGTAAGATTGAGAACAGCCTGAGCAAGAGTGAGACCCCATCTCTACAAAAAATAGAAAAACTAGCTAGGTATCCTAGTCAGTCCCTGTAGTTTCAGCTATTCAGGAGTCTGAGGCAGGAGAATCTCTTGAGCCCCAGGGCTGGAAGTTGCAGTGAGCTGTGCATGCTTGGCCAAAAGAATGAGACAATATCTCCAAAGAGGGGGTGGGGAAAGGCAGAGATTCCTTCCATTGTGAAGTTTGGGGGTTCTTAGATGACCCCTTCAGATTTTCTCAGCAGCACACTGGAGGCCCCGTAGAACTCAAGGTCCTCACAAAACGGTCCCTAGCGTCTCCCAATCCACTATAGGAGGTACTGGGCACTGCTCACACCTGGGAGGCTAAGTGCAATGAGCCTCTCCCTCCCAAGCCGTGCTGTGTTCCACTTTTCATTGACCTTGGAGGGGTCTGGCAAGGCTTCTCTGCCATTCCTGCTCTGAACTCAGAAAGGAGATTCTCCACCCTCAGGGAGCTTCCAATTTAACTGGAGAATCAAGGCCAGCATGCGAGGACAGTGAGAAAAGCCCTGATTTGTACCAGGCTCCTCTCGGAACTCCAGGTGGGGCAGGCAGGTGAGACATCCACGCCTGGGGCTTCAGGCCAATCCCCACCATCCTGGGCCAAGCCAGGCAAGCGTTGTTTCCACCCTGGTCTCTGCGCTGCCAGAGGGAACTGGCTTGTTTTGGCTTTTGCCTCTGCTGAGCTGGAGCCCCCTCTTCCTGCTGCTTTGCATAGTGGCACTAATTCCGTCCTCTTGCCTGTGTAGGGACTGGGGCAGACAGCGAGGTGGGGGGCAGGGGCTGGAAGCTTCACTTCTCCCCCAAGTAGAGTCCCCCCTGCATGGGGCTGCCTTGGGTGCAGGGAGCCCTTGACTTTACTGAAAGGCTATTTAATAACATTGAATAACTTGAGTTGTTGACAGAAAATCATCCAAGCAGGGCCTGCTCCATCCACCATGGAGGCTTTGCCTTCATGGGTTATGAAGTAGGGGCCCTCCCTGATCTCTTTTAGGGACTTAGACTTTGGGGGGCGATCCCTGGCCCCCAGAGCTGACATAGGCAATGGAAACAGCTGGGTAAAGATGGTGGGATGATGAATGTCTCCGGTCTCAGTTGTTTTATCTGTAAAATGGGAATCTTAGAATCAATCCTAAGGGAAAGGAGTTGAAGCAGATGCTTTTTTGTTTTTAAATCACAAGATAAAATTGAGTTTGTTTTCTTCTAATATACAAGTCTAAGAATTTTAGCCCTTGTATAGATGTGACTCACCACCACCATAATCAGGATACAGAATGTGAACCAGAAACTGTTACTGGGCCCAACAAATATATATTGAGCACCCGCTAAATGCTAGTAAAATGGTATTCAGTACTGAGCACCTCTGTCTCATTTGTATTGCATTGCCTTGCGTAAGCCCCAGTGTAACCCTGGAAGGGAATAGATCATCCACGGTCTACAAACAAGCACATCAAGGCCCAGGGGAATGACCCTCACTGGCCAAAAGCCACACACAGACCTTCAGACTCCAAACCTAGCATTTGTCCCACCAGATCTCAGCCACCTCCCTCGAAGCACTTTGTAGTGATGACTTTGACCCAGAGGAGGAGAAAAGGACCAGGGGAGAGAAGCCAGGGACAGCTCTGTCTTTAGGGGGTTGTGTTTTGGAGGGCTTGCTTTCCCATTACTCACAAGTTCCGAAGCCCCCAGGCCCCAGCTCTTCTTACCAGGGCCTAGATGGAGGCGTGAGTACCCTGGAGAGGAAGCCACTGGGCTGTCCTTCCCGAGGCCCTCTCCTCCCCAGGGCACAGCTCTGACGCCCCTGGTGGGCACATGCCCCACCACCCACCCGGGGAATCCAGCCAGCTCCCTCGGGACCCTGGGTTAAGCACAGGCTGCTTCCTCCTTCGCTCTAGCTTGACTTCCGGCCCTCTTGCTGCAGGTGCTGCCATGGCTGGGGTGGTCTGACCCGGGGGTTGGGCTGTTTTTCCAGCAGAATCAGAGGTGAGAGAAAAACAAAACAACACGTGGAAAGCCAAGCTGTTCTGGGGCAATGACAAGCAGTGCTCACGCCTTAGCAGGTGTCTGGCTGGGCTTCTGGGAGGGGTGCTGGGATTCTGTCGTTCTCTTTGGTCCACCTCAAGAGGTGGGCTCGAAGTGCAGCCTGTAACATTCCCGGGTGTGTCCCAGGGCTCCAAGCTACTCCAGGTACGGCACCCTCAGGTCCTGCTCCTGACTCAGTTGCAAACAACAAACCTTCCACTTGGGACACCCACTTGCCTTCTCCAACCCAAGAACCTGCCTTTGGAAACTTAGGGGGCTGCAGAGAAGAAAAATCAACCAGCATTCAATCCCGAGTTCAATCAGAGTATAGTTTGTTAAGACACATTCAGATTAATCCTCATACAATTTTCAAAAAATTTTTTAAAAAGGCGTTTTCCCCTCAGACCTGACAGCACTTTCTCCATGTGGCAGGTGGCAGAAGGGGGAAGGCAAGACACCTCTGGGGTTCAGATTCTGTAGGTCGTGAGCCTGTGTAGAACCTTCATGTCCGCTTGGAATCAGCATGGGTGTACTGCCCTGTCTCCTTTGGGGTTTAATTTCTTTTATGTTCATGTCACCATACCCTCAATCTCCTGCCCTTGTTATTCTTTTTTAATTTTTTATAACTTTTTTTATTGTTTGGGATTCATTGAGGGTACAAAGAATTAGGTTACACTGATTGCACTTGTAAAGTCCCTCTTATATTGTATCCTGCCCCCGAGAGAAGTGCCACACACCGTGACCCTCCATTTCCCTCCCTCTTCCTGCATCTGCTGCCTTCATATTAGAATTGAGTACACTAGATTCTTGCTTCTCCATTCTTGTGATGCTTTATTAAGAAGAATGTGTTTGGCCCCTGTGGCTCAAAGGAGTAGGGCGCTGGCCCCATATACCAGAGGTGGTGGATTCAGGCCCAGCCCTGGCCAAAAACTGCAAAAAAAAAAAAAAAAGCCTTCCACTTCCATCCAGGTTAATACCAAAGATATAAAGTCTCCATGTTTTTAAATGGCTGAATAGTATTCCATGGTATAGAAATACCACAGTTTGTGAATCCATTCCTGGGTTGCTCCTGCCCTTGTTATTTTAAAATAAGTAGACCAGCAGAAGGACATCAGATGGAGCCTGGTCGCCTTGCCATTCCCAGCCAGCTGGACACTTGTGTTCTTTGGCCGGTGTTGTTCCGTGTTCAGTCCACTTTATCGGACATTTGCTTAAATTCCTAGGTCTAGAGCCGCATCAGCTCCCCGCGCCCTGCCACTTCCTGGATTTTGCTTATGCCTCTATAGATTAGCTATTTCCTTCATGGCAATTTTTCGCATTTGAAACTTCTACTTTACCATTATGTATTTACTTGTTTGCTATTATCTCTCCCTCCAGTGGACTGTATGTTCCAGAACAAAAAGGATTGTGTCTTTTGTTCATCCAGGTACACCCATCTGCCTAATACAATGTCTGGCATATGTGACAGACAACAACTCCTTGATGGATCAGTTAACGCGTGCATAAGAGGTAGTTGAGTGCATGAGTGAATAGTTGAAAGGCAGGAATCCAGCCCCAAAGGGCTGAGAAGCATAATAAGATGTCCACAAATAACTGTAGGACAAGGTAAAGGGAAGGAGAAGTTTCTTCCAGCTGAGGACACCCATCAGGAAAGCACTCCCGACTTCCCACACCTTCTGGACACACCTCCGTGCTTAGTACTTCTTTTTCAATGGAATGGTCTCCCTGGGGAACAATCTCCAAAGCGACAATCACTCAGCATGTCCAGTTATGTAGATGGTTACGTACTTCTAGGTTGTCCAGAGATCATCGAGCAGTATAAATGACAACCCCACTGAGACACAGGAGTTCCTGCCTGGTCCTCCCCCCCCCACCCTCCAAGGGCCTTCCTCCACACATGAACCCTCTGGCCACATCGTGTGGCAAACTCAAGGGTCCAGTGAGATACAGGAAGTGAAAACGATGTATGATGAAACGTGCAATACGGATGTACAGGATGATAGGACTTGGTTCACTAAGTCAGGCTACACTTACTGCCTGTGGATACCTCATTCTGCAGCTGAAGTTCCTTGCATTTAATTCCCTGGCCTCATTGAACATCCTCTGCTCTCCGGGACTTGATCCCTGCCCTGCTGGCTTTGTTCTGAATAAAGTTCTATTGATGATCGGTAGCACCGATATTAATTAGAGGAGGATTCTAAAGAGCTTGGCACCAGGGCGGCCCTGTGGCTCAGTGAGTAGAGTGCCAGCCCCACATACTGAGGGTGGTGGGTTCAAACCCAGCCCCGGCCAAACTGCAACAAAAATAGCTGGGTGTTGTGGAGGGCGCCTGTGGTCCTAGCTACTTGGGAGGCTGAGGCAGGAGAATCGCCTAAGCCCAGGAGTTGGAGGTTGTTGTGAGCTGTGACTCCCACAGCACTCTACCAAGGGCAATAAAGTGAGACTTTGTCCCTTAAAAAAAAAAAAAAGCTTGGCACCATCACTTAGGAACTGGGGGACTCCCTGGGACAGTTACTTTTACCTCTTTGAGCCTCTGTGTCCTCATCTGTGAAATGGGACTCACGCTCCCTGTTGCTCAGTAGCATGTCTGGAATGTTTCAGAAACATGGCCCGACTTCCTCATCTCCCCAGGAAAAACCTTGGGAATCCCCACATAATGTCCTTTAAAGACCTCGACCCAGTGGGCTGAGTGATCACCTTGGTGCTAAGACTCATGGAAAGGGCCAGGCACAGCGGCTCACACCTGTAATCCCAGCACTGTGGGAGGCTGAGGGAGAATTGCTTGAGCTCAGGAGTTTAAGACTTGCCTGAGCGAGAGTGAGACCCCAACTCCTAAAAATAATGAAAAACCCAGCTGAGTGCCGCAGCAAGTGCCTGTAATTGCAGCGGCTTCCGGAGGCTGAGGCAGAATGATGCCTACAGCCTGAGACTGAGGTTGCAGTGGGATATGATGCTAGTACATTCTTCTCAGGGCATAGGGTGGGACTCTGTCTCAACAACAACAACAACAACAACAACAACAAAGACTCATGGAAAGGGTTTTGGTAGCAAAAAGGAGATAGAGTATGTCCCAGGTGTAGTAACCAGCCTTTGACCTCAAGAAAGGAAGGACGGAGCTGACAGTGGGCAGTGTGGACCTCAAAATGCCCAGTCTTCTGGACTACCCTAATTCTGGGGTCAACAGATGTGAGGGGTGAGATGAGCTCTAGCCTCAGCCACACTTCATTTGTGCCCACCTGTGTGGCTACTGAGCAGTCCCCAGCTCTGTCCCCTGCTGCCCTCACTCCCAAGGGAGGCTGGACTTCTCTCATGGCCCAAAGTCCCCAGCATTAGCTAAAAGCCTCTGACATGGGCGGGGGGGGGGGTCCATACCCTTGATGGCATGGATTTTTTTTTTTTGGAGACAGAGACTCAAGCTGTTGCCCTGGGTAGAGTGCTGTGGCATCACGGCTCACAGCAACCTTCAATTCCTGGGCTCAAGTGATTCTCCTGCCTCTGCCTCCCAAGTAGCTGGGACTACAGGCCCCTGCCACAACACCTGGCTTTTTTTTTTGGTTGCAGCCATTGTTGTTTGGTGGGCCTAGGCTGGATTTGAACCCACCAGCTCAGGTGTATGTGGCTGGTGCCTTAGCTGCTTGAGCCACAGGCGCCAAGCCTGGCATGGCTTCTCTTGTTGGGGCAAAGGGAACCTGTCCGGTTATCTGTGGCAAATGTATCTTGTTCAGTTAACCTCTATCCTGCTCTTGCTCTGTAATCCTATCTTTCTCTTCCTCAATAAACTTTATTTCAAACTTGCAAAGGAAAAAGAAAAAAGGAAGGCTCAGCGCCACTAGCTCAGTGAGTGGGACACCGGCCACATACATTGAGGCTGGAGGGTTTGAGTCCTGCCAGGGCCAGCTAAACAACAATGACAACTGCAACAACAACAACAACAAAATAGCCAGGGCAGCACCTGTGGCTCAAAGGAGTAAGGCACTGGCCCTACATAACGGAGGTGGCGGGTTCAAACCCAGCCTCAGCCAAAAAAAAGCAGCAAAAAAAAAAAAAAAAGCTGGTTGCTATGGGCTGTGACACCACAGCACTCTACTAAGGGCGACATAGTGAGACTCTGTCTCAAAAAAAAAAAAAAAAGAAAGAAAGAAAGAAAGAAAAGTAAATAAATGAATACCAAGACCATTCCCACCTGTCTCCTCCTCCTGGAGCTGGAAGGAGAGGAAGGGGGTGCGCCAGCCTTTCCCATGGCTCCATCTTCCGGAGATCTGTGACAACACCCCCTTCTCCTGCCTAGAGAACAGCCCTAGACCCCCTGTGCCCTCCCAGAGGACAGTGAATCAGGAACACTGGCCAGGGGACAGTTCAGGAATGAAGGGAGGGAGAGGAGCTCTGTCTTCTGGCCCTAAAAGGGGGTGGTGGCAAGTCTCCAAGCATTCACATCCTAGCCCACCGGGGTGTGAGTTGTCTGTGTTAGTTGCCAACACTATAACCAACCACTTCTAGAAGGGTTTGCTTGCTTGTTTGTTTATTTGTTTGTTTTCCCACAGGGTCAAGTACTATATGTTTTTAGACTCAAGGGGTGGGGGAGGTCTAAATGCAGGGAGTGTGTTCTTTCCCCGCTCTCATTCCTGGGGGCAGTTGACATCTGTGACCTCCAGCTGCTGAAACAGCCCCAATACTGGGCACCAGGAGACTACAAGGCTCCCACCCAGCCTTCTCTGTCCTGGTCCTGTCCTGCTGTGCATGCACCCCATGCCACTGGGCCACTCTCACCTGGGAATTGAGGGAGAACATTCCCCTTAAGGAAGGACAAAGTGAGGTAAAGGGCCCCGTGTGACCAGGGAAAGCATGCTGTATTCAGAGGCATGCTGAGCCACTTTGGAGGAAGGATTTTGAAGAAACAACATGAGGAGAGCCAGGCTATGGAGACCTGCCACCTTGACTGAGGCAGTTCACGCAAGTCAGTCTGTGAGCCTCCGTCTCTATCTGTACAATGGGAGGATAATGCTTCCTCCTTCACAAGACAGTTGTGAGGGTTGATGAGAGACACAACAGGCAGGCCTTTTGCAACTGGATAAGTTCCATACAAATATGAAGAGGGGGAGGACAAAGAAGCAGACAGGGCTGTCATGACTGGGCAGAGCACATTTCGGGGTGCTGTGCTCTGAATTCCAGTACTAGGGGAGAGGCACAAACCCCTAAGGGTTCTACCAACTTTGAGATTCTCTGATGGTTGCAGGGCCATGGGAGGAAGCATCCGTGGTCCGTGTCTGTTCCTGGGATTCCTACTTCTTCGTTTGCATCTTTATGGCAGACCCAAGGGGCAGGGACAATGCCTCAAGTTTGAGTCCTTTGCCCCTGGGACCTGGACTTGGTGGAGCCTGAAGGCTCACAGCAAGGGGAGGGAGGGCAACGTGCAGGATTGGTGCCCTCTGGTGGTCAGTATTAGCACTGCGTCAACTGGGTCAGGTTGGCCCAGGGGGTGGGACCAGGAGGGAAATGAAGAAAGTGGGTCCAGGGCCGGCCTGTGCCCAGGAACCCCAGGAACAATTGGCTGCCTTTGGCCTCCTCTCCCAGCACACAGTTATCTCTGGTGGGTGGAGGGGAAGCATGCAGGGAAGGAGGAAAAGGACAGGATAGAGAGCAGGAAGAGTTGGCACAGACCTCAAGGCTCAGCCCTCCTGGCTTTGCTCCCTTTTGGGGGACCAAGTGGGGCCCTCCTCACCCAGTGGATACCCCTGGAATGACACGCTGCCAGAGCACACCTGGATGCAGACTATCTCGCTGTTTGATTGGGTGGTCTCTCTGCCTGAGGCCCTGTGTGCAGAACCCTCACAAGGTGGATGACAGTGGGGAGGGAAAGATGACAGGCCAGGGGACATGATCCCAGGATGAGTGGGAGGATCAGCTACATTATCCATCAGCACACCCATGCATAAATGTACAGAGAAAAGTGGGGGCCCCGGGGGACCAGGGTATAAAAAGAGCCCGCAAGGGACCAATTCCAGGATCCCAAGGTCCAGCTCCCGAACCACTCAGCCTCCTGCGGACAGCTCGCCCAGCTGCAATGGCCACAGGTAAGCCCCCCTAGAATCCCTCTGGGCATGGTGTGTCCAAGGGAGATGTGGGCCCTGCAGATAGGATGGGGACACTAACTCTCCGGTTTGGGGCTTCTGAATATGAATGCTTAAAGCCCAACATTTAGCCAAGCTGAAAATCTTCTCAATACCTGGAAGGAGGGGGAGGCAAGCCCCCAGGCAGGGAGGGAACAGACCTCGTGCTCTCTCCCCAGGCTCTCACACCACCACCCTGCTCCTGGCTGTGGCCCTGCTCGGCCTGCCCTGGCCTCAGGAGGCTGGTGCCTTTCCGGCCATGCCTTTGTCCAGCCTGTTCGCCAATGCTGTGCTCCGTGCCCAGCACCTGCACCAGCTGGCTGCTGACACTTACAAGGAGTTTGTAAGCTCCAGGGAAATGGGTGCTGGTGAGGGGTGGCAGGGAGGGGTGACCTTCCCGCAGAAGTAATAAGAGGAAAGTGAGAAGCTCAGGGTTGTTTCATGTGAGTGATGATGCAATCAGATGAGTATAAACTGAGTGGGCCCCAATAAAGTAGCCATGAGAGCCAGCCACCAGTACTGCCCTTTCCCCAGGAGCGCGCCTACATCCCGGAGGGACAGCGATATTCCATCCAGAATGCCCAGGCTGCCTTCTGCTTCTCGGAGACCATCCCGGCCCCCACGGGCAAGGACGAGGCCCAGCAGAGATCTGTGAGTGGTCGCGGCCCAGCCGAGAAACAGGGCCTCCCTCTTTAGAAGTAACGCTCCCCTCTCTGCCCCCGCAGCCCCACTTGTACCCCGGGCCACAGGCCCCCTCGTCCCCCCTGACTGGGAAGGTGGGAGGCCTGGGCACCCACCACCAGCCTCCCCGCAGGACATGGAGCTGCTCCGCTTCTCACTGCTGCTCATCCAGTCATGGCTCGGGCCTGTGCAGCTCCTCAGCAGGGTCTTCACCAACAGCCTGGTGCTCGGAACCTCGGACCGAGTCTATGAGAAACTGAAGGACCTGGAGGAAGGCATCCAAGCCCTGATGCGGGTGAGGGTGGCGCTGGGGGTGCCCTACCCTGAGGCCCCGCCGGCTTAGCAGAGGGCCAGGGGACAGAATCACGCTGATCTCTGGTTGGCAATCAGGTCTGAACCCAGGACTCAGCCTATTCCTCATTTCCCCCCTCTGACTCCTCCAGGCCTTTTTTTTTAGGCCCTGGAAGGGAGGGAGGAAAATGACAGAAGAGGGCAGCTCCTCAGCGCTTGGCCTCCCTTCTCTTCCTTCCCTTTGCAGGAGCTGGAAGATGGCAGCCCCCGGGTGGGGCAGATCCTCAAGCAAACCTACGACAAGTTTGACACCAACCTGCGCAGCGACGACGCACTGCTCAAGAACTACGGGCTGCTCTCCTGCTTCAAGAAGGACCTGCACAAGGCTGAGACGTACCTGCGGGTCATGAAGTGTCGCCGCTTTGTGGAAAGCAGCTGTGCCTTCTAGTGGCACAGCATCGGCTACCCCTCCCCAGCGCCTCCCCTCACCCCTGCCCTGGAAAGGGCCACTCTGGTGCCCACCAGCCTTGTCTTAATAAAATTAAGTTGCATCATATTGTCTGGCTAGGTGTTGTTTATTATGGGACAGATGGAGATTTTCTGGAGCAGGGACCCATCCTGTAGAGTCTGTTGGGAACCAGGCTGCTGATATATAACTGACCTGGCTCATCCTGGGCCAGAACAAAGCCCACACGTACCTCGTCTCTATTACATGCTAAATCCACCTTCTTAGGTCAGTGGTCTCAGCTTGCTGGGTCAGCATAGGTCAGCAAGGTCATTGGTCACCCCATAAAGTACTTGGAGGTATTTCTCCTTCCCCCACCAGCATGAGGCCACCAAACCTAGCCCCTCATCCACCCTAAGAGTGGGAAGAAATAAAAACAAGGCTGCCAATTGCAGAAGGAAAATACTCCAACGGGTGAGAAAATAATGCTTGTGTGCATAAAATTGAAGATAGATAATCATTAGGCATCACTACCCCTGGGAAATGAGGACAATGTCAAAGTAAGTTTGGGATGTATAGAACCAGAATGTTTGGGATCTGAACTCGGGCAAAGGAAGTGGAAGAGAGATTCCAAATTGGGGGATGCAGGCTGGGCGCAGTGGCTCACATCTATAATCCTAGCCCTCTGGGAGGCTAAGGCACATGGACTACCTGAGCTCAGGAGTATGAGACCAGCCTGAGCCAGAGTGAGATCTGTCTGTAAAAATAGCTGGGCATTGTGGCAGGTGCTTGTAGTCCCAGCTACTCAGGATGCTGAGGCAAGAGGATCACTTGAGCCCAAGAGTTTGAGGGTGCTGTGAGTTATGATACCCATAGCACACTACCGAGAGTGACAAAGCGAGACTCTGTCTTAAAAAAATAATAAAATAAATTGGAGGTTGCAAATACAGTGCCAACAGGTAGACAGATACGATACTACAATAGCAAAGAGGGCCAGATGGGAGGGGCTGAATCACAGCTGACACTTAGCCTCCTTAAGAGAGATGCACTGCTGGGGGGTGGTAAGCACCAGAGCAACTGACAGAACCGAGGCACCTGCTGAGGTGGGCCCTGTCCTAACTTGTCGTCAACTGCAAGGGACAGAGCTGCCAGACCTCCCAATCAATTCTTCCAGACAGCCAAGACATCCAGACTTACACGAAATCTAATTGATTTTTAAATATTGACAACTAAGACATATAAGAATCATTGTAAGAGCAAAAATTAGCCCAAATGCATTTGGTCTTCAAGCTGTCAGTGAGCAATTTGTTGTAAGAGCAGTGAATTGAGATAACTTGGTATAATCAGGAAGATTTGGAACGTATGTAATCTGTGCTCCCAAACCTATTACTTGACCACCAAGAGATAACGATCTACTGCTTTACAAGGCCTTTGTGAAGATTAAATGAAATGATGTTTCTGAGATAATTGACATATTACAGCGCTCAGGGTGTTTCATGTTTTCTAATGAACTGTCTAACCACTTGTTATTAAATCATTCTAGGCTCGGCTGTAATCCCAGCATTTTGGGATGCTGAAGCAGGAGGATCACTTAAGGCCAGGAGTCCAAGACCAACCTGGAACATATAGCAAGACCCTCATCTCTACAAATTTAAAAATTATATGGGTGTGCTGGTTACATACTTGTAGTCCTACCTACTCCAGAGGCTGAGGCAGGAGGATTACTTGAGCCCCAAACTTCTAGGTTAGAATGAAATATGATTACTCTACTGCACTCCAGTCTGAGCAACAGAGTAAGACTCTGTCTCTAAATAAATAATTCTGTTTTCCTAACAGCATCTCAAATGTTTCCTATTTCCAAATGAACTTTGAAAGGGAAGTGTTAATGCTTTATAATTTTTAAGTCTAAGTCATTCATGACCTATAAATCAATCCTAGTATGCTCATAGGAACTCTACTACCCAAAAATGATTTTATGAGGTCAAGAATGATTTTGCAATGCAAATAATTCCCTAATTAATCATCTTGAAGTTTAGATTTTTATGTGCTATTGTAAATTGTCTTTATAACAGAACCCACCTGTATTCATTGTTAGTTTTTTGGGTTTTGCTTTTTTGTGTGTTTTTTACATTTGGCAACATAAGTTCTTGGGACGTGACTGAAAGTTGAAATAATCACAACTCTTGAGCTCCGTTTCTTAGCTCAAAAACCAATAATGTGTTACATCATTCTCTTATTGTCTAGCATTAAAATTATGCTATTTTGGAGTTAGAAGGGCCTCATATTCTCTCATAATTCCTTCAACTTTAGGAATCTTATTCTACATGATCCATTACAGATGGTATTCCTATTACAACTGTGTAGCCCTGGAACCAAGGGAATCACTATTTCACAAGACTACTCATTCTATTAAACCACTCTGATTTCAGAAAAGTGGATTTTCCTCCACTAAGCTGGAATCAATATCCCTATAACATCCTTCATTTGGCATTTATTTATTTATTTTTGTTCTCCTTTTAAGACAGTCTATGTTGCCCCCTTAGAGTGCCATGGTGTCACAGTTCACAGCAACCTCAAACTCTTGGGCTTAAGCAATTCTTTTGCCTCAGCCTCTCAAGTAGCTGGGACTACAGGCACCCACTACAATACCCAGCTATTTTGTTGTTGCCATTGCCATTGTCATTGTTAGCTGGCCAGATTCGAACCCACCAACCCTGGTGTATGTGGCTAGCACCCTAACCACTGAGCTATAGGTGCCGAGCCTGGCCTTTAAATTATTTAGAAATTTCAGGGGGTTTAGACAGGCATTGGGGTGGGCGCTTGTAGTTCCAACTACTTGGGAGGCAAGAGAATCGCTTACCAGTGGTTCTCAACCTGTGGGTTGCGACCCACAGGAACTGTATTAAAGGGCCAAGGCATTAGGAAGGTTGAGAACCACTGGCTTAAGCCCAAGAGTTTGAGGTTTCTGTAAGCCGTGATGCTACAGCACTTTACGGAGAGCAACCTAGTGAGACTCTGTCTCAAAAAAACGAAACAAAACAAACAAAAAAAGAAATTTCAGGGTCTTTAGAAGTTGATGTAATGGCTCGGCGCCTATAGCTCAACCGGCTAAGGTGCCAGCCACGGGCGTTGTGGCAGGCGCCTGCGGTCCCAGCTACTTGGGAGGCGGAGGCAGAAGACTCGCTTGAGCCCAGGAGTTAGAGGTTGCTGTGAGCTG